CCACAAAGGGCCCTCCCCCAAAGTGGGTTTGCCACATCGATCGGAGAAAGGAGCGCAGAAGCAGCATCCGGGGCACAGCCTAGGCCCGCAGGAGCCATGGCCCGGGGGGGGGTCAGGCCAGGCGGAAGAACCGGACTCAGACTGGGAGCTCACGTGCCAAGTGTCCACCATCCCCCTCTTGGCAGTGGGGCACAAAACTCGGGTTTGGCGCTTGGGTGCAGCATGGTTCTGCCCCAGAGGTTTCTCTCACCACCCTTCTGGAACCAAAGACAGGCATTTAGGGTCCTGAAAACCGTGTTCCTGAAAATCTCCGTGAATGTTTCCTAAGAGTTTTGTGAATGTGGCACCCAGCCCCACCACCGGGATGAGTCACCAAAAGTGTCTGCCTGCCTGTATCAAACGGTTGGGGAACACGCTCACAGTGACCCCTCATGGATTTCCAGGTCACACTGGGGGGCCCATGTCAACCGTTTGCAATGCAGGAGAGTGGGCTAGGCGAAATTTTTCTAAGTCCCATGGCAGACACCAGGTCAACCCGGTTCTTCTGCAGGAGAACGCTGCCACTCCCAAGGAAGCACCCCAGCCTCCCCGGCCCTCGGGCAGGTCACCAGGGCGAAGATGGATTTGTGCCTGGGCTCCTGGAACTGTCACCCGGCCTGGCCCGCTGGATCGGTCCCCTTCCAGACCTCCAGGTTGACATGGCCTTCTGGAGTGCTGCCCAGGCCAGCTGCCCCTCGAAGGGTCGTGGGTGACAACCCTGGGGCCCCGTGTACCTGCCGGGACCCTTCGAGATGGCCCCAGCCTGCCCGACCCTCCACTCCTCGCAGCAGTGACAGCCTGGTCTGGAGCAGGGGTAGAGCCACGATCCCTTGCTTGTGCACCCCTGCCTGGAGCATGCAGGCTGCAGATCATGGCTCTGCCTGGCTCTGAAGCAAGCTGCCCCCATTGCAAGATCCCAGCAGCTCCAGAGCAGCCCCCTGCCCTGCTCTGCTGCACCCTCCACCAGCATGGCTGGTGTTCATGGCAACCCCAGCCTTGAGCTTTCACAGGGAAGCTGTGGCTCAGGTCTCCATGGAGACTGGCCCCAGACATTCAGGCAGGGGCTGCTCGGAAATGGAGTCTGGCTGCTGGCCAGATTGGCCATTTTTGGTCATTTAGAGCAGGGGTGAGTGGCCCACCCCTCCTCTAAATGTTACTTTCAGCTGTGGATATTATCATGTATAATGTTAAGCAAGCTTGGGGTTGAAAGGGCAAGATTTTATGGTGTGAGGAAAGGTGACCTCTTGGAAAAGCAAACAAAAACTTTACTTTTCTGGGTGAAGACTTTAAGAGGCTTTTTTCCAGTCCATAAAATTAGACCCCAAACCCTTAAATGATCTTTGAGTTAAAAGATAAATAAAGGTCTATTTCCCATTCTAAATGCCCATTAAGACACTATTTGACTAAAAAATGGGGAAAAAAAAGCTTGATATCACTTGAAATGTTCAGGTTGGTTGGTCCCAGATTAAGAAAGAATTTCAGTTAGGGATGAGAGGGAGTGGAGTTATGAGGTTTAAATCTTCAAAAAGTCACGGCAGTGCCTGCAGTGTTAAGTACTGAAGCTAATACCTACACAGATAACTTTCTTTGTAGAAAGGTTTCAATCCAGGTTTCTGGACCAGAAGTCCCCTTTATTCCAGATATTTCCTGCTGGATTAGACTGTGCAAACTGCTGGAATCTGGTAGAATACATGCAGATTATCAGTATTGCTCTATCATAAGGAAAGTCTTACCTGGCATAAAGCAATATGATCAACCTCTCTGCGAACTGTTTTACCTCTTTCCTTGCCGTATGTAGGACAGAAGGGGTCATGACAACACAGCATACTTTCATGCTGTTAATTCTCAAATGAGTTATTGCCCTGTAGGGAATGCAGCCAACTGGCATGAGTTAGAGTAGTCCCTAAGCTCTTCCATGCCAAGGGGATTTCAGCATGGGAGAGAACCTGGGCTTCTGAATTGAAATCATTATGCTTATACATGGTTTTTATAATCTCTGTTGCAGTTGCCATTCCTTCTGTGAAGCTTCTATTGCCACAACATACTTTTACCCCTCTGTGAAACAAAAGGGAAGTCAAAATACAACTTGGGTCAAAGTTACAAATTTAAATTGAGGAAGTCAGCAGAAGTATTATGGGTCTAATAAATGTTGTTATTATGACATTGTATACATACATGGTACATATCAATTTAAGAGCAGAAAATACAAGGGTCTGCATACCTATGTGTGGGGGAGGAAGGGAGCAGGGGGTCCCTGGAACCCCACCACCGGGAAATAACCCATCCGGGTTACGCCCCATGGCACAAATTGCCTGGGCGGGCACACTCATGCTCCACAGGTGCAACCGGGGAAGAAGCCTCAAGGCAGTTCCGGTCCCTATTAAAGGGACGCCGGAGGCAGCTGGGGGGAGGAACCCAGAAGGCGGCGGCGGTAAAGAGGGAGCCGTCGGGAGCACCTGTGCGTGGGGAGAGACGGCCGGCCGGCGTGGGAGGACCTTCTGGGGCCGGGGAAAACCCCAGCGGGACCCGGGAGCTGAGGAGCAGCGGCCGCACTGTGGATACTGACGGCGTGGAGAACGGCTCGGCTCAGGGAGAGCCGGCGAGCCATATTCTTTTGAGTAGAGGGGCACTCGCAGCAAAGAAAGCGAGACAGCCGTGTCAGAGAGGGGCTCGGGGACTTTGCAAGCCCAGGAACAGATCTGGCGTGATTTCTGCACCTTGGATGTGCCCTTGGCGACGAGAGGGAAGCAGACGGCCAAGAGATTTGGAGGTACGAGCGAGGGTGTAGGGGCGGCGGAGCCCTCGACAGCGTGGGACCCCTGAGGGATCGGAGTCTCATTTGTGGACTGGTACGCCCTGGATTTTATATCACTGAACCAGTAGATCATCAAAGTCGTGGCAGGCGGTTCGGAGGAAACCAGCCCACAAACGAGCCGAGGGAGGAGGAACACCTCGGGGACGGTCTTTTACCAAGAGGGGCGGAGGCTTCGGCACGGAGGGAAGTGACCGGCACAGCGCTACCCTTGGACACTATGGATATGTAAAATGTAAGATATATAGATGAGTAGTGTGGGTAGGTAAATGATATAAGTATTGAATTTTTTCCATTCCCTTACTTCTTGAACATTTAAATTCCTAAATGTTAATTAAGCAGGCAAAGTTCTTTGAGTAGATGTGATAAAAGATATCACATCTACTCAAAGAACTTGACCTGCCTATGTCCTTAGGCTACAACCAAAAACCCAGCTAAATGTTAATACACTTTTCTGTTTTAAAATCCAATCAATGGGCACAGGTAAGTGAGTTGTAGGATTAGAATCCAGAGCCCACACCTTCAGGGAGTATCATAGCTCCACTTCCACTGAGTTTCAGAAATTTGTCAAAACAAAGCACCTGGCTGGTCTTGAGATTTTGCCAGGTAAAGTAGTCTGTCAGGCTTCTGTTTATTTGAACAGGCAGAAACAAACCTCCATTTACACATAACCCAGGCTACAAGCAGTAGCACAGAAGTATTATTGCCAGCACAACCTTCCATAGTCCACCTAACCTATATTTAATGTAACTGTACACTGTACTACCCACACAGGCAAAAAGCACAGTCAGAAGTCAATGACCTAAGTATAAACATTAAGAAGCATTGATGTAGGCACCAGGTTAATGAGAAATAGTTTTTTTATTGGAATGGTGTCACTCAAGCATGGAATCGGGACTCTACGCACAGCACCAAGTGCCAATTAAAAGCAGAGAGTATGTCTGCATGCTTCAACACTAATTTTCAATAGTTCTAGCAAACACACCAAGACTTGGATCTGAAAGTGAGAAACTAAGTCAGGGAAAGGATCAGGAAACTTATGGTAAAACCTTATAGAAACATCTCTGATCAGAATGGGGCGTATAATTTGAATGGCATACCTACCTTACTGTGTGTGTTTTAGAAGTGCAAGTTGTTTTGAATGTGGTACAGTGTTTTAGACAAACAGAACAGTATTATACTCTTGTACTACACACACAAAAAATCGATTCTACCTAATTTTGGAGTCCAAGCACTGCAGTGGTGTGAGAACTTATCTTTTACTATAACCAATAAAAGTAAAAACTTATGCATAATAGACTATTAGTCACTTGAGTGTTCTCAACAGGAAGCAATTTTCATCCACAATGCAGAAGACAGCACTGGCTAAGAAAAAGAGGATAGGCTTTTTATAACTGCTGATTTGCTCTGACACCAGAGAGAGGCCTCACCCAGCCTAACATAGCTGATGAGTGACAACACACAGGATATCTATCCATGCACAGCCCCTCCTTTATATAGCAAGTGAACACATAACCATCTTACAGCCTGCCATAGTTAATGGCCAAATGACTATACTGGGTACTTAGCCATATACATGGTGCTTCTGTCTTTGCACAAGTGCAGTGATCATCATTTTAATGGTTCCAACAAGGAACAAGGCAGCTAGGGAAGGCAATCTTTAAAATGGTCCAGGAAAACTACCCCAGTTTGGGTGGTTTGACAATCTAACTCCAGCAGTTTGATGGAAATTTTCCGTAGGACACCGAACTCCTCTGAATATGTATACGTATGGAAGCAACCTCTACTGGTAAGAGCACAGAAGGGAGAGTCACAAGTTAGAAGCTCTATTTATAGAGCTGCCATTCCCTCCCTGTGCTAGAAAAGAAAAATAACTCAGACGCAAATCTTGAGAAGTAGCTAGGAATCTGGTTGTTCATTTTAGTGGTAAGAGTTCTGATCTTCAAAAAGTGCTGAGCACCCACAACTCTAAATAAAGCTAACAGGATTTCCAAGTCATCAGTATGTGGGAAAAGAAAAAGGGCCAAAATGTCTCAAATAGGGATGCTCAAAAACATAAGGCACCCAATTATTTCATTGCCTTCTCAAAAGCAACCTCAGTCTCTTGGCACCTTAGTTCTCTTATCTACGACATTACAGAAAATATTCATAAAGCTCACCAGGGTGCAGCAAGACTTTATTTGTTAGTATGAAAACAATGATGCAACTTGTTCTAGCAGTTAAGGCCAGCTAGGAGTTCACAGTTGGGCGATTTGTGTTCTACCTTCAGTTATGCCACTGACTTGCAACTCTTGGCTAAATCACTTCTCTCCTCTGCATTTCTGTTTCTGTTCATACCTCCGCCTGTTCTGCCTATGTAGATGAGAACTTCAGGACAAAGACTGTAATGCACCCAGCAAAATGGAGCCTTGCTCTCTACAGGGGCCTCTACGATACTATAACACAACAACAATAATGACATTTATCCCTTCTTTATAAACTACTTTGTAATCTATAAATGAAAAGCAGCATACAATATCCAGATAACATTCAAAGTGCTCTGCTTTCGTAAGTCAATGATGTAGAAGTGCAAAGTATGCTTATTCTTACACACAGGCCTGTAACTTGTCACATTTCACTAATATTACCCTAAGGAAAAAGAATCCCAATCTTTGTCTCGACTGTATGAATCAATTTGCATTTTATCAGGAGAAAACACCAAAAACCCTGCTTACTGAAGCTTCTTTCCACATGGTAGGCAAACTTTAAGAGCTTTAATTCCATGTAAACACTTTTACCTCATAAAAGACTGATCAGTCTTCTTTTATGAAAACGGTTAAATAAACCAAACAAAAACTATGATTGAGTGTCAGTTGTTATTATATATCATTTCTGAAAACAAAATACTGCAATACATGCGTCACAGGAAGCTTCTGACTGTCACTAATCTCCAAGACAGCAATTTCTTTCTCTTCTCTGTTTCATCTGTTTGAAAGTAACTCTGAATCCACCATGGTTTTTTTGCTCCACAATAGCAGTAGAAAGTCCAAGGTTTTCCATCTGCCATAAACATATATCCAGTAATGCTTGAAACAGTTGCCATCATCCACTTTCAAAATCCCTCATGTTCTGGATAAATGGTCCTGAAGGTCAAGTTGATCCGTGCTTCCCTGGCATGATATTCCTTAGGCACCCGATGCTGGAAGTGACATTATGACCAAAAAGGGGTGGGGTTGCATAATTAATAATCATTTAATATGCAAATATAACACATTTTTATACCCATTTTCTAAGAGGGAGATATTTTTCACATAGGAAAATGACTAACTCTTGACTCTTCTAGGATCATTAAATAATTTTTCAGCAATCTGCCCCAGATGCACTAATGCTTGCGTATGAGATGAGCCAATTCCTGTAGATCACTTAGAAATGCAATGAAATTTAGGTAATTAATTTTTCTGGGATGCCTTGATCATGGGATGGCAGGCCCTATTAATCTATGGTAAAATATTACATTATTGCACAGCAAGCCTCTCCCAATACTTCTGCCTAAAATTCATGTCTCCAATGCTCTGTGGAAACCCAGCAAACTCTACCACAACCAAAGAAAGGTCTATTCATGTCACTCAAGTTTTCTTACCTGCCAGTCTTCCTGGGTTGCTCCCTCCATCATCAGTAAAGTGCCATGATCCAGTGGAATCCGTATTCTTTCCACATACGTATAATCTCCACTCTCTTCCTAAAAGACGGACAAAAGGGTGCACACATATATGAATGGGAAACACTGTGCTGGGACTTCCGTGTCTCAACTTAAAACACCTTTCACCAGGAAAATGCCAGCAAGCCCTTGACTTCTGATCTGAAGAGGCTCCTGTACTGTGCAATGTTTCACAAAGGTTCATAGATTTGCTACATTTTAAAAACAGCAGGAATTATTGCGATTCCTCACTGTGACTTCACAGGCCACACAACAACCAGCTGTCCCTGCATCAAACCCAGAGCTCCTAGCTGAGCTACAGCCTCATTTTTAGAAAGATATCCAACCTTGTTGTATACACTTAACAGCAAAGAATCCACCTTGTCTCCAACAGTTAATGAGACTCCTCAAAATTTGTTGTCTTAATTCTACTTTCAATTTGGCTAGTTTCAGCTTCCAGCCATTATACAATCCAGTAGGATTTGTGCTCTTTCCACATCAGCATGATCTCACTGGTAGCCTTCTGCTACTGGAAATCTTTTTCCACTCTTGGTACCTGCAGACCACAATCAAGTAACATTTAACCTTCTCTTTGGTAAATTAAATAGTTGGGGCTTCTTTGGTCTCAAATTTGTACAGTTGTTTTTCAGATGACAAATCATTTGTGGAAATTTTTCTCTATGCCTTCAAATTCATCATACACTTTAAAAAAAGGCGGGGGGGGGGGGAGTGGCAATACTAGAACTGGACACAATATTCCAGAAGTGGTTTCATTAATGTCATACCCAATGGTAACAACACCTCTCTACTTCTACACAGCATTTTTCTGCTTCATAATATCCTACTCATCTGTCTAAAGAATTCATTTGTCCTAGTAACTAGTAGGGTGTACTGAGAATTCACCTTCACTTGGTTACCCACTCTGACCTTCAAAATTCATTTTGAGTGGCTGGTTTCCAAAAACATAGTCCCTTATCCTGTAAGCATGACCTATGCTCTTGGTTCCTAGATATACGACATTCCCTTTGACTTTATTAAAATACAAGTTGTTCAAGTGAGCCCAGTTTACCACTCCACCCATATGTAGAACTTCGTAGAGTTTTGTAGAACCAACCAAAGTGTCTACGTCACCTGTAACCTTATAATAGCCTTTTTATTTGTTTTTTTTCCTCAAATCATAGACAAAGATATAGAATAGCACAGAGCTAAGAACAGATCCCTGTTGAATCCTGGTAGGAATACCATCAGTACAGGAGGATCCCTCATTTACTATTCATTTTGAGATCTGCCAGTTAACAGTTTTTAACTCATGTAGTACGTGCTATACTGATTTTCTATACAGGGTTTATTATTTCTTCAATTAGGATATCAAACAGTAAGTACAAAGTCAAGTACCTTACTGGAGTCTATTATGCAAGACAGATAGTCTTATCAACCAAGGTAGTCTCATCATAAACTCATTATCAAGATTGACAATGGTTTTCCATAAAATCATGTAGACACTGACCGGTATTAATTCTGCTGTAATTCCTTAAGCAGCGTGAAGTGACAAAAGACTTAAACAGCTGAAGAGGCTGGAGGGGAGGGCTGATGGGGAGAGGAGGGAGAAGTGGAGATGGTTGGAGACCTTACTGCAGTACAGCTGACCCTAGCATAACTTGTCTGTCTGCTCATAGTCTCTCACGAGCGTAGCTTGACTGTGATCATTTATGTTGTTTCATTCTAGGGTAAATTATTGCTGGTTAGGAATGGGGACTGAGGAAATAGATACAGCTGTTGAGGAAACAGATACAGGTGATATCTGTAGTCTGAGAGCAGTCTCATTGACGGCAGGCTCACTGCGTACGTGCGTAGTTTAAAAGGGCCTGCCAACAGCAAAAAAGCCGCAGTTAGGCTCCAGGAGCGGTGAGAGACGCACAGGTGAAAGCCTGCCGTGCCTCTGCTCCCCCAAAGCCCCCCAGAGACTGCCCAGCAGCCATGGAGCCCCCCAGCACAGCTGGAGGTAAGCAGGGCCCGTGGTGGGAGGGGGTTAACCCCTAGAGAGCGGGAGGAGATGGCTGAGTGGGAGCCAGGTCAGGTCTTGCATCGCCCAGGCCCCTACTTCGCCCAGCCCCCCAGGGAGCTATGAGAACAGGCTGCGCAAACAGGTGCGTTTGTCTGCCGGCGCGTGAGTTAGCGCAGAATTCGTGCAGAAGGGTGCGCAGGAGGACCCGAGGCCCTGCCTGCGTGCCCCCTAGGGTAGGCAGACTCAGGCCCAGCTCGCCTACCAGCGGCATGCCATGGATGGGCACGCATCGCACCCTGAGGGTCCCCTCGAGGTCTGCGGGCTCCCCCTCTGGCGCCTCAGAGACGGCCACCCAGACGGAGCCCATGGTTCTGGGCTCCACCCAGACAGAGCCCCTGGCTCTTGGCTGCAGGGGCTGCCTGTCACTTTTTCAGGCTGTGGGGCCCGGGAGCATGGCTACCTCCTCATGTGTGGTCTGATCCCTTTTGGGGTCTCTGGTGTGCCAGCTGGAGGAGCTCCAGGGCACAGTCCAGAGACTCTGTGCCATCAGGGACTGTGAGCAGGAGATTGACTCCTACTGCCTGGCCCTTATCACCTAGGAGCTGGAGGGTAGACCACGGTCTCCCTCCAGGACAAGGGAGGACTCCAGGACCTCCCGCTCTGTCCAGTCAGGGGCATGGACCAAGGTGGACAAGGGCCCTAAGGCCTGCCGCACCAAGGCCCCTGCCCCCCCAGAGGTTAGTAACAGGTATTAACCTCTTGCAGCCCCAGCAGAGCCTGCTGAGTTGCCAGCTCCCGCAGGCAACACAGGCCCAGCTGCAGCTATGGCCCCCGCTCTCCCCAAGACAAAACATAAGGTGTCTGTTGTGGGACACTCCATCCTGAGGGGGCAATCTGCCGCCCTGACCCCTTAGCCCAGGAAGTCTGCTGCTTCCCAGAGGCCCGCATCCAAGACATTGAGGAGAAGATCCCTAAGCTCCTCCAGCCCACAGACCACTGTCCCATGCTCCTTATTTGTGTGGGCACCAGTGACGCAGCTCGGAGTACTCCCAGATGGGTCATAAGGCGCTACAGGGATTTGGGAGCGGGGCTAAAGGGTCTGGGGACACAGGCAGTGTTCTCTTTGATCCTCCCAGTCTCGGGCTATGGGCTGAAGAGGGAGAGGAGGATCCAGGTAGTCAACCAAAGACTGCGGTGCTGGTGTCATCGAGAAGGCTTTGGCTTCCATGACCACAGCCCACTCTTTGGCGAGAGAGGCAGCAAGCTGCTGGGAAGAGATGGCCTCCACCTCTCTCCTCTGGGGAGGAGGCTCTTCTCAGCCAGAGTGGCTGACCTGCTCCACCGGGCTTTAAACTAAGCCCGTTGGGGGTTGGGGGGACTACAGCCACTGCTGGCTTGCTGAGCAACACTTGCAAAGCCAGCAGGCCAAGGCACTTAAGGGAGCTCACCCCTGCCCCAGCCCTGGTACAACCTGTGGGCAAGGCAAGAGCCCCCAAGGGGACACTTGCCTGCCTGTACACAAATGCCAGGAGCTTGGGGAATAAGCAGGAGGAGCTCATCCTCCTGCTCAGTGCAAATAATTACGACGTCCTAGGGATAACGGAGACCTGATGGGACTCCACCCATGACTGGACCACAGGTATTGATGGCTATACCTTGTACAGGAGGGATCGTGTAGATAAAAGGGGCGGGAGTGTAGCTCTCCATGTTAAGGAAAGCTACACGTCCCTGCAAGCTGATGTTGGCGACCAGGGTGGACAACTGGAGGCCCTCTGGGTTAAAATCCATGCGGAACACAGCACAGGGGACACAACAGTGGGAGTCTACCACAGACCTCCCACCCAAAGTCAAGAGCTTGACCAGGAGTTTGCCTGGGAACTGGCTGAGGCCGCATGCTCCAGGATAACGGTTGTCATGGGTGACTTCAGTTACCCAGACATCTCGTGGGAGGATCACTCAACAAAATTCGAGTGGTCGCAAAGCTTCCTATCATGCATGAATAACCTCTACCTGACTCGAAGTCTACAGGTCAACAAGAGGTAAAGCGCTGCTCGACCTGGTACTGGCTAC